AACAATGTTCCTGCTTGTCAAGGTGATGTATATTGTTGAAATCTCCTTGTAAATCTACATTCACATTAAGTATGAGTAAATGATGTGAAAATCTATAACGCTCTGGGATCTGGAATAAATTCTAGAAGGGAGAGATAAATAGAGAGAATAAAAGCAGCAGCCAAAGTAAATCAATTAAAGAACTAGCACAGGAAAGAGCTCAAGATGACTTCAAAATTTCTTTACGCTGCTCATGTTATTTTCAGCAGAGACAGGAACCTGGAGGTAACTTTCAAGTCCCCAGGATTCCTTGTGATGCTGGTATCCGAATGCTGACCTTAAATGACTTGTTTTTTTTTTTCTTCTTGCCAGCAGACTGAACAAAAAGGAGAAAAAAATGAATATATTCCTCCATTTCTACAACAAAGTGGATGGAGGAATCTCCCTGCCAGGACATTGTATTCTGATAGTGAGACTCCCTGCTGTCAGAATAGAATACACTGATCAGAGGCTACAACAGATTGACTGCAGCTGTTGATTAACAAAAGTTTTCCAACAGCTTACACGTGGATCGAAATTTGCCCAGTTCCTGCTAAACCAGCCAAATTTTTATCCATCTCTGGTGAGCTTAAGGCCCACCATGCAATCACCTTTTCTTATGTACACAACTCTCTACTCACACAATCGTTACTCAACGGGGTACCCTCCTAAACAGAGTTATTGAGGGCTCTTTCATTCTACAGCAGCCTTAATGCACATTAAGCACCTATAGAGTTAATGAGCATTTTGGCTGCATTGCACAGGCATTCATGTTGCATCAGGCAGTGCTTCTCAAATGTCCCATGAGACATTTTTTTACATTTGTACAAGACTAAAATGGGAAATGATCACTTTACAATGGCACCCTAAATGCACTGTATACACCATAGTACGTTTATAGTGAGTTCACGACGCCATTGTGGTGCACTTCAATAGAAGTGAATAGAGATGTCTGATGCATCAACGCCTTTCCATCTCAGCAGGCAGCTTTCATTTTGCCTTGATGCGGAGAAACATTAAAGCTGCAGTGTGAACACCTCCATCTGCTCCCTATTTAATAATTTGAGTGGCGTTGAGAGGTGGTCAGGAAGCAATAGAAGCGCAACCCAACCACCTTATTTTCAATGCCTGTGTAACCCAGCCCTTATGGTCACGGAAACTGTGCCCTGTGCTGGATGCATTGGAAACAAGGATCAAAGAGTTGATGAGTACTGACATCTGCATCCACCATAGAATACGATTTTCTCTAAGGGACGTGACATGTTCTCACACAGTGCCTAAGAATGTACAACTCTCCTAAAGTGGTTTTAAAGGCTGGAGGTTTTTTACCTTCAGGAATTCTATGCATGAAGGTAAAAAGCCTTCAGTGTTGGCTACCCCCTCAGCCCCCCAATACTGACCTGAGCCTGATCTCGATCCAGTGATGTACAGTGGCTCTCTCAGGTCCCTCTCTCCCCATTGGCTGAGACACAGCAGCGGAAGTCATTGACTCCCGCTGCTGTTAACCACAGCTAGTGTGGAGGGAGCTGGGGATGGGGCTGGGCACCACTCTGAGTGTCTTATAGACATACAGAGTCAGATCAGGAGCTAGCCTGCACTAGTGCCCCCAGGGAAAGCAGCTTTCACTGGGAGCACTTAGCTAGTGCCCCCAGGGGGGGGGGGGGGGGGGCAGGAGCACCTGTGGGGGACCCGAGAAGAGGAAGATCGTGGCTGCTCTGATCCATTGCACAGAGCAGGTAAGTATGACATGTTTGTTATTTTAAAGAAAAAGGAAATCTAAACCTTTAGTATCACTTGCCAACAAACGTTTTTAAGTATAGGTCCTGAAATTCAATAGGACAAACTAAAAATAGTAAATTTTGCAAAGTTTAATGCTACTTCCTTTATTACAAATTCCATCAAACTTACAATGAGCCCCTTTTCAAACTCTGCTTTCGCTCATAGGTGATTTGATCCATATAGGAACTGCAGCCGCAGCATGAGAGAAAAAGGAAGGAGACAAAACCCTTTATAAGAGACTCAGAAAACAAAAACGTCTTTTCCAGTATTTTGCTGACCATGTAAAACAGGAAACGCTGTAAATGTGCCATGTTTCATTCTATAGTTCAGCCTGTGATTGGAGAAGCACATTGAGCATTAGCGTATGATTAATAGTCAGTTCCATATGAAGGGAAACACGGAATGATGTTGCATCTGCTGTCGTGTTGCCAGAATTTAACATCAACAAGGAGGTTTAATTAACCACTAATCAAGACGAGTAGCTCTTTCACAGGAGAGCTAAGGTATAAGCACTTTATAGGAACTAACTGTAAATCAGCAATATATTGAGCATCTTGAAGTGCTGTAAAACAATATTTTTCTAAGCACATGTTTATAGAACCAAATACAAATCACTTAATAATAAGGAGGTATTGGTACTGAAAGTTAAAGAGTAAAGATGAAAGTTGTTTACTTAAATTACCTGAACACATCAAATATTAAAGCAGACCTATAACACAATAGTAAATACTACAGACGGAGTAATGCTTTAGTAAAAGTTATAATGTATAGTTACTGTCATGCATATGTTTTATGGAAAGTAGGTGTAAAATTATCCACCTACACCTACTTAAATAAAATAAAAAGGCAAAGCTAATATGTTGAATGTGGCCATTTAATTATGGTGGATTCCAGAAACTTCTGCAGTTAGGCAAATTTCTCAGGTGCAAAAGATTTGGGCCAGTACATGGGCTTTTGGCGGTTACTTGAATAGCCCTAAATACCTACACCTACATGTAGAAAGAAAATCATGAACAGCAACTCATAACATGCTTTTTGGGTCTCTTAAGGCCACATTTATTACATGCGAAAACCCCAGCGGGGGGTTAACGGTGATTAGCTGCAGGAAGATGGGGCAGCCGCACACCGGAGGATTGATGAATATAGTGTATATTTATTGATCCATATCATTATGATTAAGCACAAGATCGTGTGAAACGCGTTAACAGGTCCTGTATTCAAGTCCTGGTGTTTTGTGTGTCCTATGGATCAATAAATATATACTATATTCATCAATCCTCCGGTGTGCGGCTGACCCTTGTTCCTGTTGCATCATGTGTGCTGGCAAGCCAGAGCCTGCATCAGTTGTATATTGATCCGGATTGTTTGCCTGAGCAGTATACCTCTGTTCTTTGGATTAGCTGCAGATGGAAGCCCCACTGAAAGCAAAGAGAGGCTGTCGGATCCCACAGCCAATTATGGTCACTCACATGTAATCGGCCATGCAGCGGTAACCTGTGAGTGATCGGCCCTGGACAAAGACTGGGGTTCTTGCACGTAATCAGTGTTGGGCCCATTCGCAGGTGTGCATGTAGGCTAAAATACGCTGTAAGAATACTTCTATTTAGCCTTATGCTAAACATGCCTAATGTACCTGATATATTAAAGCATCTTAAATAGGACCAATTCATTTTTGCCTTGTGGTCTGTTAGTCTAGTAACCAGTAAGGTAACCTCGTTCTGGCAGAATGAAGGAAAAAATCTGCTTCGATGATGGGCTAAAGGGATTTTTTTTAGGGCCCATTTCAAACCATCATGTGCGTTATGCATGTGATTTTGTGCACTGATGCACATAATGTTAAGGCAGTCTTTTACTTTTAATGGGCTGTTAATGCACCTCAACCCATAAAAGAACACATCTGCACTAATCTTGTCAATGCAGCATACCATGACACACACAGCTTTCAAATCTGTGCATTATGATGCACAATAGCATTGTAATGCAATATATTGTGGGGAATTTATCAAAACTGGAGCAGAAAGAATTTGGTATAGCTGTACATGGCAACCAAGCAGCTTCTATTTTCAGTTTGTTCCTTTAAGCTTTGAAAAATGAAAGATAAAATCTGATTGGTTTCCATGCACAGTTGCTCCAGATTTTGACTGCTGCAGTTCTGATAAATTCCACCCCATTACCATGCTCTGAAGGTTTTAGCATACATTATCGCAATGCAAGTGTGTGAATCCAGCCTCAGACACCTTTAAAAACTAGCGCTGCCCCTCTTTAAATAAAATGGCTTAGCATTTTTTTTTTTATTGCATCTGAAGTTCAATACCTTCTTTACAATCCTAAAAAAACTGTCACCATGCACAGCCATCACGGTACTAATCCTGTGATTTGTGTAATGTGTTTATTTCCTAGGATCATCAGCTCCATCTAATGGCCATAATGCAGTGTTTTCTGAAATACCCCACACAGTAAAATACCACATTATGGCCACTCGAAATAAACATATTGCACAATTTACAGCGATTATTCATGATGGATGTGTGAATACTTGAGCCATTAGCACAGCAATATTTGTTTATAAATTGAGTGTGTACTTTCATTGATAACTACACCTTTACACCTTTTGAATATTCAGTTAAAACTGTAAAAGTAAAATTGTGGACTGATACAGAAACACGTAGAAAGCTGACTGAGTAGCATATAGGTTTCACAACCTCTCACAGCACTCTTGTAAGCAATAGTATTATACCACCACCCTGTGACTTTATATTATACCATGGTTCCCATTGCAAAACGTACATAATCCAATATCACATTTTAATAGCTGGTAGTTAAAAAGAAATGGATAACTGCTCATCACTGTCCCATCAGAACATGGGTGTTATGTGAAAGTCACCCCTGTTCATCATATTTCATCAAGAAGGCTTTCTAAATAAACTGACAGCAGAGCAACTAATAATGATCAACATCACTTATTACAGTTTTTGGAAAACAAAAGGGAAATACATATATTTGTCATTTGTGCACAATTTTAATTTTATAACTTATATTTTGTATACTGACACAGTAAAAGAGAACTTGCTAATTAATTTCCTAGCTTAGAAATTATTTCTACCTTTGTGGATTATATCCTGTCTAGCAAACCATCACTAGAGACCCTGAAACCAGGGTCAATCATCGTATATCTGTGAATGGATATCCCAATCTGTACATACCATTATCATCACAAGACTCTGATTGGAAGGAACTAAGAGACTGAATTTCAGACATGCTTTCGCGTGGATTGTAAAGATGACAAGGCTTTTCATCCAGAGACTTCTTTGAAAGACATGGGTCAAGATCAACCTTAGCTGTAAGCGAAAAAGAAGATTTAATGTCAAAATGTTAAGGACACTTAATTAACAAGGTATAGCTTTGATCATTTCCCAAAAGGACAGACGGTAGCTGTTCAGTTCAAGAAAAATGGTAGTGAAATATGTTTGAAAGTAACAATCATGGAGTCTGTTTGAAATGAAATAATTGAAATGACAAAGCGCAATCACCAATCTCCAAGAGACAAAAAAAAAAACTTTAATTGGTTTGTGAAGATGATACGTGCTTAATAGCAGGTGGCCATCCGCATATTATTACACACGGTATGTGTTGATTTCTACAAAATTAAGCATCAACAAATGCAGTATTGAAAAATTGTGCGCACATTGAATTTATGCAAAATACCCCTAATCTGTTTACATTAGTTAACAGTGTTGAATTAGGCAACTATCCAGCCAATAAAGCTCTCTTCTTTCTGCCAACATACAGAATCCTACAAAAGTGATTGGCTGAAAAACCTTGTGTTATAGTTCTCTTTTTATTAAAGGATAGGTATAATGGTTTGATATAATTTTTCTTTTTTTGGCAGAATATGAAAGGATAAATAATAATATTTTGTATTTTATATCTAACCAACAGGTGCAGCTCTGTATTTTATTTGATGTTTACATGTCTATGTTAATAGTTTTACAAAAAACTGTTTATTGTTTACATAGCTTAATAGCTTAAACTAGTGAATCAGAGCAGTCACTTGCATTTCTATTCCCCATCCCTGCTTCTTTTGGTCAGATGGAGTTTTACAAATTTTTAGTAAAAGAATGAGTCTAAAAGCTATAAGCTCTGCTCTACAAAAAATCCAAAATGCTCTGTGAAAACAATATCATGACTGCTCCCTTTATAAATATTTGTAAAACATTCATTAAAAAATAAATGATTAAAAATTATCCTCAACCACTAAAGTTGTCATTCAAGCGAAGTTGGGTAACAAAGAGTCAGCTATATATTCCCAAGCTGCCTGGTTAACTCTTGCACTAACAATGGGCACACTGACATGATCTGGCGTTTTAACTGGTTTGAAACTGTCAGAATTGCAGGTAATAGATAACATTCATCTCATGTTTTAACCACATTTATCAGATTTTCTGACTGCTATGAACAGACACCATACAATCCAGAAATCCATCCAACCTCCACTGGTAATAAACACTTCTAGTTGTGTTAGATATCTGGTCTGTTCCCAAGTGGGGACAAACTAAAACTGGATAAAAATGTATCCAGTTCAGCAGGGACTGGCCCAATGTCAGTGTGTAGTTAGATCGACTATCGAATGGCCAAGTTGGAAAACGTTTGTTGATCAGCGGCTGCAGCTCATGTTCATGCACTGTATAATTAAAGAAAATATGTATCAAGGAGGAATGGAGGTAACCATTGCTGTTGTGTCTTTTTAAAAACCCTAGCTGACTGGCTATCATTCTGATGCAATAGTACACTGACCCAGAACAAGTATGCAGATTACAAGCTCTGTGTTCACCTTCTTAGTTTAAAAGTACCACAGTGCTGCTAAGGTGCCTTAGAGAAAGCTTGTGAACTATACAGATTTAATAGTTCTGGAGCAGTCATCTTGTATTCTCACTGTTACAGTTTTAAAGTAAAATGATATTTGTTTAGAAGTGTTTTATTCAAAACAAAAGCTTACCATCATAGTCAAAATCCCAACTCGGCTTTTGGATTGAGTCACTATCGGAGGGGGAGTTAGATGGAGGTGGAGGTGGCAAGTTTGGAGCAACGCTACAGACTGCTACAGTTTTCCTGTGTCCATGCACAGAGTCTGGATTGAAAGTGCTAAACTCAGGATGTTCTGGAATGGTGGATCCTTCAAAGGAGTTTCGGTCCAAGTTATTTCTGGAGTCACTTGGAATGCTTGGAGTGTAGGATATAGGGCGGACAGGCACCTGGGGAGGGATATCAGAATAGATATTTTTGTTTACTTTAGGATCCAAGAACGGCCTTTGTAAAAATGCAGAAGATGCCCCAGTGTGTTTGTCCTCTGATTCCTGCTGTCTCTTCTTCTTCTTACTTGAAACCACTCGGCAAACAACAAAAATTACAACCAGACAGAAGATGCCTGCTATGAAGACGATGATCCCAATGACCTCTGCTAGGCCAATGTTCCAGGAGGTTGAAACATACTTATTGAGGGCAATTTCTGTGCAATGTTTCCCACCATAACCATTGCTGCAGTTACAAGTGTAAGAGCCATAGGTGTTTTCACATAGAGCACCGTTGGGGCATGGGCTATCTGTGCATTCATCAACATCATTCAGGCATCTGCAACAGCAAAAAATGAGTGTTAAACCCACCTACTGTAACATCTACTGCATATATTTTCAATGGCATATTATCTATGTTACTGTACATGTATGTTACCACAGGTCAATTGCAGGTATAACATATAAAACAAGGTTTGTGCCATGACAATTAGCAAAAAGAATAGGTATGCAATCTGATTACTGGAATCAGTCATCAATTATTGGATAATAGAAAATTGTAAGCAGACAGTGACCCCAGCTGATGTCCTCCAACTGATAGCCTTTCTCAACCTTTTCAACACAGAGGAGCCCTTGAAATCACTTTCTGATCTCAGGTAACTTCTGTTAAAAATTACTACATCTACAACTCATGATACAGTAAGTGTGATGGTCAGTGGAAAGAATGCTCCTTACACCTGTGGCCATTGGGAAGAATTACCCCTTACAGATAGCTATAAAGATCAATGATGTCAGTGGGAACTTATTTGAGAGGCAGAAATTGCTCACTGCTCAGGGAACCCCTAGTAACCTCTGGAGGAACCCTGAGGATCCATGAAACCCTTGTTGAGAAACCCTGCCCCAGCCTATCTCCTGGATCTGTTACTGCCCTGCCTAAACACAGTCTTCCCTTATTTAGAGCATATCTAAATCCAAAAAAATTAGTAATATGTAGATTAACAGTCATCAGATGTGGTGGCAGCATTTGTTTTCTTTTTTTCATACTTTTTCCATTTACTTTCACCTAATAATATTGCTAATAACATGTTTCCTATCCTAGGGTGGCTAGGTTTACACTTGTACTATATCTATGGATGGAGCCATGGTTGTCACCCAGGCTGGACTACTATGTATGCCTTTGTTCATCTCTGTTACATGGGGGATGGGGAGATTAGTAGTTTGCAGGAAGTGACAAGAACACTACATTTGTTGCAAGATCAACAACTATGTTATGTACTCATTAAATATGCTCTAGCCTACATATAAAGACTGCAACTCAGCCATATTAAAGAAAAAATGTAACTGGGTTTAGTTGTCCATTAACATGGGTATAAACCTTGCTCTTGGGTTCAATCTGGTACTTCGCTTTGTTTTTCTCCCTGTACACTAGCACTTGTTAGAGGGTGAACCGAAAGGCTGCAAACAAGAAGTATCACTCACTGAGGTTGTCCCTGGTAAAGTTTGGGTATTTCTTAGATTCTGCCCTTTAGGGAAAAATATACTTAATTATGGTAACACAGTGCAAATAGGCAAACTGTGACATTATTAATAGTCCTGTAAAATGTAATACCCAGAGACAATGAACCTCATCTATCAGCTGCCTTAAACAAAATATATCTGTTTTGCTGTGTTGCTTATAAAAAAAAAAATCTAAGTTTTTGCAGAATCTGCTTACTGTGGTGCAACACGTTCATTTCCTATTTTCTGGCATTTTTATAATTTTATCCCATTTATCACAAAGCATCCTTTTCTACAGTTATAACTCAGAACACTACTAAACTGTAACAAAGACAGGGATATGAAAGTATGATCATTTAAAGCCTAATCTCAGAGTTTGTGTTAATTTAAACAGTTTAAAAATGCAGGTGGTGCTGTCAGCTTTGCATGAACTGTCTGTAGCACCTGTAACATACAGTACACAGCGCTATGTTCCAGCAGCGGTACAGGAACTTCCCATTCCTAGAACAAAATCGAGTCAGGCGGAGCGCTGCTCAGTCATTCACCATTGGAGTGTTGTGAAGATATCCCTTTGTTTAGCATCAAGGGCTTCAAACAAAAAGGAAGGTCTGTTTAATGGAATTTCCTTCATAAAAAAAGTGTCTTTTTTCAAATAAAATTTTGTTTTTTTTAAACGTTACACTTTTAACTTCAGTGATCTAGTCAGGTACGGGCTGAATTACAAAAATGTAAATTACAATTCTTTCACAAAAAATTAGGTATAATCGTTAAAATAAGTTAATTATTATCAGTGATCAAAGTGATACAGTGAATGAAGGAAGAGATACCTTTCTCCATGGAAACCAGGTTCACATTCGCACACAGGGCCATCCAAGCTGTCAATGCATTTCCCGCTGTTCTTACAGGGATTGTCTTTACAGTATGGTCCTAATTGACATCTGCAACAGGAATATTACATTGAGATGATTATTTAAATACATGTCTATGAAATACAATTAAAGTTTTACAATTAATTGTTTAGTCCAATTTAACAACACATATATGTTAAGGCTGACACTCCTGTATTTTTTTATCATGTATTCTAGTGTACAATTTCTGTCCTGCATTATTGATAATATAACCTCAGATATTTCCATTTTAAGAGAAAATGACAATCCCTTGCATGAATTGGGCATATAAAATGTGCTCTGAACGTCATCTAAGTCACAACAATAGAAGAACACAGTCTGCTGAACATAATACTACACAAACATTAGATGTTGCCATGGTTTAATTGCACATAACATGTAAACATTCACAGTGCAGGGAGGAAAAAGTATGTGAACCTTTGGACTTAATAACTGGTTGACCCTCCTTTGGCAGCAATAACCTCAACCAAACGTTTCCTGTAGTTGCACATCAGACCTGCACAACGATCTGGAGTAATTTTGGACCACTCTTCACAAAACTTTCAGTGTAGCAATATTCTTGGGATGTCTGGTGTGAATCGCTCTCTTAAGGTTATGCCACAGCATTTCAATCGGGTTGAGGTCAGGACTCTGACTGGGCCACTCCAGAAGGCGTATTCTGTGCTGTTGCAGCCATTGTTTTGTTGAATTACTTGTATGCTTTGGGTCATTGTCCTGTTGCATCACCCAACCTCTGCGGAGCTTCAGTTGGCGGATAGATGGTCGTACATTTTCCTGCAAAATGTCTTGATAAACTCTGGAATTCATTTTCCCATCAATGACAACAATCCGTCCAGGCCCTGAGGCAGCACAGCAGCCCCAAACCATGATGCTCCCTCCGCCATGTTTTACAGTGGGGATGAGGTTTTGATGTTGGTGTGCTGTGCCTTTTTTTCTCCACACATAGTGTTGTGTGTTCTTCCCAAACAACTCAATCTTGGTTTCATCTGTCCACAGTATATTTTGCCAGTAGTGCTGTGGAACATCCAGGTGCTCTTTTGCAAACTCCAAACGTGCTGGAATCTTCTTTTTGGACAGCAATGGCTTCCTCCGTGGTGTCCTCCCATGTACTCCATTCTTGTTTAATGTTTTCCTTATTGTAGATGTGTCAACAAAAATGTTAGCATGTGCCAGAGATTTCTGTAGGTCTTTAGCTGACACTCTGGGATTCTTCTTTACCTCATGCAGCATTCTGCGCTGTGCTCCTGCAGTCATTTTTACAGGACGACCACGCCTAGGGAGAGTAGCAACAGTGCTAAACTTTCTCCATTTGTAGACAGTCTGTCTTACCGTGGACACATGAACATCAAGGCTTTTGGAGATACTTTTGTAACCCTTTCCAGCTTCATGCAAGTCAACAATTCTTGATCGTAGGTCTTCTGAGAGCTCTTTTCTGCGAGGCATGGTTCACATCAGACAGTGCTTCTTGAAACCAGTAAACCCAAAACAGGTGTGTGTGTTTTAAGGGCAGGACAGCTGTCAGCAACACATCCAATATCATCACACTGATTGGAGTCAAGGTTGGCTCACTCCTGGCTCCAATTAGCTCTGGGAGAAGTCATTAAGCTAGGGCCTCACATACTTTTTCCTCCTTGTACTGTGAATGTTTACATGTTACGTGCAATTAAACCATGGCAAAATCTAATGTTTTGTGTAGTATTATGTTCAGCAGACTGTGTTCTTCTATTGTTGTGACTTAGATGACGTTCAGAGCACATTTTATGCCCAATTCATGCAAAACTCCACGTAATCCCAAGGGGTTCACATACTTTTTCTTGCAATTGTATGTGTCATGAACTGAGCTTTTACAGAGTTGAGAGGCATGTTGGTAATATTAACATAAACATACTTACAATAAAAAATATCACAAAAGTTGATGCATCAGTTGCAAATACCTAACTTCTACAAGTGGCAATATGTTGCCATACATTAGCAAGAAAAAAGAGACTTTGACAAGGACCAAATTGTAATGGCTAGTCGACTTGGACAGGGCAACTCCAAAACTGCAGCACTTTTGGGATGTTCCAGGTCTGCAGTGGTCACGGCCCACGTAAGGAAAACTAGTGAATGGGAGATAGGGTCATGGGGAGCACCCATTCCAGAGCTGAAGAAGTGGCTTGGATAAGCTATGAGAGATCTTTCATATTGCAGATCATGTCCAGTTGAACGTGACTAACTACTATATCTATGTATATCTGTCTGTGATATGCTGACAGAGTCTCAAAGAGGAAAACAGATACTCTGTCAGAATAAATAAATAAATAAATAGTTCATGCATGTAAAAGGCCACCTAGAAAATTCCCAAAGCTTTGCCCCTATGCCCAAAAGTATGTCTCTTCTTTCAAGCAAAGCTTTGCTGATCCCAAAGCGTGCCTGCCCTTCTGATTGATACTGAGTCAGCCTATCTTAGTGGTGGGTCAGAAAGGATGTGTATATGGAGGGGGGGAATCAAGAGGCAGCAGAAAGTTCTAACATTACCTGGAAAAGTAAGAGCCCATATGGGCAGACATTATGGGGCTACTGCAGGTATGTAAAAACAACCTTTTATTATCAGCAGTTTATCAGTTTTTGTTGACAGATGGACTGGCCGAAATTCGATCCATTTATGGGCAAGCTGATTTACTGACATTAGTCCATCTATCAACTTCGGTACAACTAACCTGTTGGAATTTTTGCATGCAATCACTGCTGGCAACCATAGCTGACAGCAGTGATCATTGTGTTCTACCATTAGGGAAGGCACCCCACCAACAGAACATAATAGTATTGTGGGAGGTATTCCCCCATCAACACTCACAGTGTTGATGGGGGAATTTGAGAAATTTTCTTTCCTTTCACCACGGGCAGAAAAACTGTATAATCTATGGCTCTCTTAAGTCATTGAGTGTTTCAACCAATGCACCTAACTAAATTTAAATATCCATTTTAAGTGAACTTTAAGACCACACTTGTCTAAACACATGACTTATATTTTTAACTAATCTATGTCAATTTTATAAAACCAGGTATCAGGTTTTCTCTAAAGTCAAATGTGCAAAGAGCAATTCTGTTCAGTAAACCCTATAATCAACTTTCCCTCCTGACCACAAATACTAAACTGTAATTGGCTGTTATGGTCTACTACATACCACTGATTAAATCAAGTAGTCACAGTCTGTTTAATGTAGTGTAATCACAATATCAGCAGGAGCTGGGAAGGTCAACAGAGTCCACATCCTTTGTAGAACGTAGTCACAGCAGAAAAATCATTCCCAGTTATTCTGCTACGTGCAGTAAATGGGTAATCCCATACTACAGTTGAGCTGTGGAACCGTTTTTCTGCTATTACACATGCACATAACTGCCCTTCAATTATTTTATTTAGGTAATCCAGTTCTGTTAATGCTCAATGATTTCCATGCTAGGCAAGGTGCTACAGAAGAACTAACATGGGCCGTGAGTTAACTTTGCTGTTTGGGATGCAGTCAAGCAACAGGAATAGCTTTGATGTATCTCCATAGCACTACCCATTAATATTTAGTAACAATATTTTTAACAAAAAAAGCACCACTGCAGTTTTTTGTTTGTTCTTTTTCTTTGGGGGGGGGGGGGGGGGGGGACTTAGAGCTTTGATTAGTTTTTCTTTAAGCTTCTATTAGTTTTTTATTGAGCTCCCATTGGGGAAATTACCTTTTAAGCCCCATGCAGGGTATCAGGGGGACAGAGGATAATGGGAAATCTTTCCAAGAAAGAATTAGCAACACACAAATTTAAATTTATAAAAGTTGTGTTAGGCCCTGAGACTTTGTATTGCTATTTGTTCCTTCCTGCCTGATGGCAGACCTTCCCCTTATTTCTACTCCTGGTGTTGGAGTAGAGGGAACATGGGGTCAAAGAGAGCAATAAAAACAGAAGATCTAAGCCTTCCTTACTCTATTCAAAACAGTTTAACTCCGGGCAGATTTGAAAGACACAAATAAATTCAGCGCTGCATTTATTAACACATAATTACATATATTTTTTAAATGCAAGCAGTTTAAAGAATAAGTTAACTTTTTACCAAAAAAATAATAAGTGCACATCTAAAAAATGTGCATTTATTATGTTTTTACTCTGCAGGCTGTAAGGCATTGCACCCGCTATCAGCAGATGGCTGGTGCAATGCCAGGCTCCTAAAGACTCTCAGTAAGCTGTTTGGCCGTACTGCATATGGATGAATTGCAAAAAAAAAATCACTGAACTATACGAGAATGCTCACCAGCGTCTCTCTTTTTATTGAGAACTACAAGCCTTCAGACAAGGAGGCTGACGATAAATGTAGTTAATTCATAGAACACTCTGAAGGAATAACGTGGCCATTTGGGAGGAGCCCCGAAGGACCACTCTCTTTTTGAAATCTGGGTACGGAAGAAGATACCCCCCCCTCCTTCCCCGCTGTCACAGAGAGGTGAGGGACTGAATGGAGAGGAGCTAAATTTGGGTGGAACATGTCACATTTTCCAAAGCTGAACTTATCCTTTAAGTACCTGTGTCTAACCTGGTAACAGTCTCTTGCAATCCATGTACAACAGCATTCATATTGAGGGAAGAAAAAAAAATGGCACAGAGTCAAGAAGTTGTGGTGCAGTACAAAGTATATGCTGATAGTAGGAGAAAGCAGTGTGACAAAGAGATCAGCTCATCAGTCTGCTGCTCCTCTTTTCACCATCCAGTTACTGACAGGTGAAGGACAAAACTGACAAGTGTTATTGAACTGCAGAGGAGAAAAATCAGGTCTTATTTCTTGCTAGATGGGGCTGTGCTGTGTGCCAGAGCAGTGTAAATCTCAGGACTGGATGGGCAGAAATACAAACCCTATGGAAAATGAAAAAGCTCATCTATGTATTTTGTTTTTTTTTTGCCTGGAGTTCAGCTTTAAACAGCAAAGTATCTGAATATTTTGGGTATAGAAAAATCAAAAATGGGATTCATACCTGTAATCTACCCACATCAACAGTATTTGTCAGCGTTAATACAGATAGTGAAGAGCTGTCAAACTAAGCAATCATTTTCTGCCATCCACAACTCTTCTGTGATACACATTTATGATTCAATATTGCTTGCAGTAACCAGTCCGTCCAAAATGCAATAGAGGTTGGTTACAAGTGCTGGCTTCATCTATTCCCAAGCTGTGAGAAGTAATTCCTTCTGGTGCTGTTTCATTATTGTTTAGCTGCAGCTAAGTGGACACCTACTGGTTTAGAAATCTACAAAGAAGAAGCAATGCCTAGTCTGCTTATAAATATAATACTTCTGTGATATTACACGGGGGGGGGGGGGGGGGGGGGGGCACATCATTGTTTGCTTGTCAAGATATTACCTGTTGTCTAAAACTATAGCTAAAGGTATGCAACGCATTTGAAAACTGAATAAAATCACCTAGAATAACAAGAAATGCTGTTTCTCTTTATCCATGGCACTTATAATGCTAAGGCATACAACCTTTGCACAAGTGCGTTTAAAGAAATGCTTTCAACAGAGGAGAAAGGTTCATGCTGCACCTCTGGCTAGAGCCCAGAATTGACTGGCAGGATGCTCCTGATTAGCAGAGTTTGTCCTTTCATGCCTATAGAAATCTTCATCTTCTTACACAGAGAACATCGTGTCTATGGCATATGAAACAATAGCAGCACCCAGAGGCTACAGAGGGAAGTAATCACTAGTTTATGATCAGGCAATTTTTGCAAATTGACTCTACAACCACCAAGTGTATTCCAGCTCTGTGTACAAAGTAATTTCCATATTTTTTGCATAGTGTCAGTGTGAATAGAGATATACAGGGAACAGACAAAAAAATGAAACCACTACATGATTTACAGGTGTGAAGGTGACAGCATGTTTTGCATTGAAAGAGGAAGTGATGAAACATTCTTTTGCTTCCGCTGTGTGATGAGACACCTAGCTAACAGGTGGGAAGCATCACATTTGTTATTCACTGCATGTGCTGCTAGTAATACAGAGTCATGTCAGAGCTTACTGAGCTTCAAAGAGGACAAACTGTTGGTGCCCACTTAGCTGGTGCCTCTGTGACTGAAATTGCCAATTTATTTGCTGTGTCCTGAGGTACAATATCAAAGGATATTTTGGCATATGCAGTTTCATCGCCTGATAAGCATAAACGCGGTTGACATGCTCAACTGACCAATAGAGACAAAAGGACATTGCACAGGACTGTGAACCGGAATAAGAAAACAACTGCTGCAAAAGTGACTGCAGCGCTCAATCTCAGTCTTCACGGGATTTAGTCTTCACAGGACTGAGATTGAGCTCTGCAGTCACTTTTGCAGCAGTTGTTTTCTTATTCCAGCTCACAATCCTGCGTAATGTCCTTTTGTCTCTTTAGATCAGTTGACCATGTTGACCGCGCTTATGCTTATCGAGCGACATTTTCCTGGGAACTATATATACCATCATAAACTTTTATGCTGCACCTCACGGCACGGCAAATAAATGGGCAACTTCAGTCACAGAGGCACCAGCTAAGGGGGCACCAATAATCTGCCCTTTTTGAAGCTCTAATTTCTTACATGACTCTTTATTACTAGCAGCGCAGGCAGTGAATGATGTAAGTGAGGATTCCCACCTGTTAGCTAGGTGTCTCATCACACAGCGGAAGCAAAAGAATGTTACATCGCTTCTTCTTTCAACGTTAAACATGTCATCACTTGCACACCTGCAAATCATGTAGTGTTTCCAATTTTTTGTTTATCCGGGAATACCCTGTATTCCAAAATGTTGGCATTCTTTTGCATGAACTGATTACATCAAGTGTTATATTTGTGATCATGGTTGTATAAGGACAATCTGATACCCAACATATAAGAGGGGACAATTAAAAGTAAAAGTTCTCTGCATTAAGGTAAACAAACCTTTTAATATCAGCTTCCTCCAGGCCCCTCTTACACACTTATCTGAGTCTAGTCTTTATCAAGTGCTGTGCCTGTCAGCTGCAGCTCTCCTCTCCTGTACCTGGTCTCACTAGAGGCTCTGACAGTAGCAGGAGCCAGAAGCCAATGGCTGTCAGTCAAAACCAGTGAGGAGAGAGAAGGGGGGTGGGGTGGAGGGTGAGGCCAAGCCATGCTGTGTTTGTCAATAGACACACACAGACTGGCTTGTGAGAGTGCCCGCATGTGTGCCCTCATAAAGAAGAGGAGGAATGGACAACACTGGCAGGGAAGTGGAGGTTTGGGGTCGCTCTGTGCAAAACCATTACACAGAGCAGGTAAGTATAACATGTTTGTTATTAAAAAAAAAAAAATACAAGACGAAAACTTTCCAATCATTTTAAGGAATTGGTTTTGAATGCCCTTTTAATCCTATAGTCAGGAGACAAGGACTGTATCTTGATTTTTATAGCTGCACACAACCAATACATTTTAGATACACAACAAACTCACATACAATTTGTTCCCTGTTTAGGGTTTTCTGCTATGGAATATATTTACTGCTGGAATATTGATGAGCCAGATATGGTCAAGCTGTGGGATACTGGCACACAGAACTCTGGAAGGTTTAAATCTGGTCATAGGTCATACAGGCCCCTCACACCAACTCAACAGAAACATAGATACTATTATGAGGAGGCAACAATAAATGTACAATAATGTCTGCTATAGAAAGTAGATAGAACAGGTATGTAAGTAAACAAGGTGCTGCCTCTCCTTTCCTGTGAAAAGGAATAATGAGTGTTATAACTTACCTCTGGCCAGTGTACTCTCCTCTACAGTGGCAAATGAAGTCATCCTTCACTGCAATGCAGGTACCACCATACAGGCAAGGGTTGGTGGCGCAGGGATTGACACTTATTTCACAATGTGTGCCCACATACGATGATGTACATTTACAGTAGTAACCTGATAGAGCAATTACAGAAGTTTGATATCAGGTTAACAGTATGCCAGAAATACAACTAAACATTATAAAATTATGGAGAACTGGTTTAACCGCTTTCCCACCATCCTACAGCAGATATACTGGGGTGTGCAAAATCACGTATATATACGTGATTTTCCATTTGGGTAGGGGGGTAGGGGGGACGCGTGCGAGCTATTCGCGGCCTCGGCTGTCAATCACACAGACAGTGATTACTCGCCGGCACCCGGCGATCACCAAGCATTACCAACGGAGGGAGAGAACTGTATGTAAACAATACAATTCTCTCCCCTGTCAGCTCCTGCACACTGCTTTGTATGGCTGTGCTCAGCAGAGCCATGCAAAGCAGTGTGCTTACAGTTGAATGCACTAACACAGCACACAGTAAAACAGCACAAAGCACACAGTTAACCCTTTGATCACCCCATATTATTATTATTATTATACAGTATTTATAAAGCGCCAATAGTTCGCTCAGCGCTGTACATTACAAAGGTTGACAGAACATGTGACAGAACAATACCAATACAATGCAAAACATGAGGGGATTGAGGGCCCTGCTCTTTCGAGCTTACAATCTAGGAATAGGCATTTACAACCTTTTAGAGACAGAAGAAAAAAAACGCACTTCTGGGTAGGGGTCGCGCGCCCTACCTCCGCCGCCATTCGTGGCCTCAGCTGTAAATCACCGGGTCCCAGCCTGTGATTACTCGCTGGCACCCGGTGATCGAGCAGGATTACTGACAGAGGGAGAGAACTGTAAGTAAACAAAACAGTTCTCTCCCCTGTCAGTTCCTGCACGCTGCTATGCATGGCTTTGCATAGCAGAGTGCTTCCAGTGAAGCACAAACGCACAGCCCCACAGTAAAACACACACACAGCACACAGTTAATCCTTTGATCACCCCTCATGTTAACTCCTTCCTGGCACGTGCCATTAGTACAGTGTCAGTGCTTTTTATTAGCACTGATCACTGTATTTGTGTCACTGGGAATGTCAGTGACACCAAATCAGTTCCCCCCAGTGTAAGAATGCTCACCTCGTCCCACTATAAGTTGCTGATTGCTGCCATTACTAGTAAAAAAACAAAATTTCCAGTATATATACCGCCATTTGTAAACGCTATAACTTTCACATAAACCAATAAATTTACATATATTGGGATTTTTGTAACTTTTGTAATTTCTGCCGAAATTTGATTTTTTTTAAATTTTTTTACTGGACATGTTTAATAGCAAAAAGTCAAAAAATATTTTTTTTCTCAAAATTGTCTTTTTTTTTTTTAATAGTGCAAAAAAAAAACCCGCACAGGCAATCAAATACCAACGAAAGAAAGCTCTATTCGTGGGATAAAAAAAAAACATTTCTTTTGGGTGCAGCGTTGCATGACCACGCGATTGTCAAAGTAACGCAGCGCCGTAATGCAAAAAACTGCTGGCCAGGAAGGGGGGTAAATCTTCTGGAGGGCAAGTGGTTAAGGGACGGTTCATACCAGGAATCGCGCAGGAACTCACTGTGCATTTCTGTGCAATTCACATGTGATCCGGGTGCAGTGCGATTTCAGCTCATTTATTTGAATGGGCTTAAATCGTGCTGGTGCGCAACAAAAGTAGTACATGCACTACCAAAAAACGCTCAGCAAACAAATCACACGGTACTACTGTACATGCATTTGCGACCTAAGTCTGCAGGGTAATTAAGTTAACAATGACACCTGCTGCAGATTGCAAGTGCAGTGCATTTTGAACGTGGTGCAGGAAATCCGGCTTTCCCCACTACGTTCTGGTGTGAACTTGCCCTGGTTAATTCAAACCCTAAAGAATTTCATGCATGTGCAGAACTCCCAATCCAACATGTAAAATCAGAGCATCTCCCATCAGGCATGCCAAATGCTTCAAGAGTCTCTAAAACAAGGGGGGGACAATATAGGTAGTAAAGCCCATGAAAGAATGGGATTCATTTGCCAGATGTACAATACTAGATATTACCAGTAAAACACAAATACAATTCTAACTCAGGAAAAGCTTTTCGACCACAGCGATACGGATTGTCTGATCCTTGCTTCGGGACTATGTAACACATTTATAAGTCTGCAAGCTGCTATAATGCAGAGATGTTTGGGATACATAATATTTCCCTATATGCTCCATAGTTTTATTTCTACTTTTCTTTAAATAAAAATGCAGGTGAATTTCTCCTGTTTTGCCTCTATTAATAATTTAACAACAGTGCTATTTAAATGATGTATGTCCTCTTTTACGGTTGCTACTATGTGAGCCTTGAGATAAAAACTGAAGATAGATTTTCTAATCTAGATTTTACTGCACAAGAGGGAACACAATGTACAGTAGGTAATCAGCAGTTTTGGAATATACAGCCCCGTATAAACTGTATAATACAACAACAACAAATAAACACTTAAACAATTATGTCAGTGAGGGGAAGCAGTGCAGAAGAAAGCTTACCTCCATTAGATAGGGGGGAGCACACCCCACCATTGTGGCAAGGGTTGCCTGCACAGGCATCGGCGGCAGTTAGAGAGCATCCTTGAGAAACGTCCACAGACTCTTCTATTAGTGCAGAGTTCTTTAATTTACTATGAAGGGGGAGATCCTGACCATTGAGAAACACAGAGTCTATGCATCCTCTAAATCCATTGCTCACTTGGCCACCTCTTCCATGTTTTGCTCCCTTGTTGGCGCATGTGACCTCCAAAGTATACATAATTGTCCAGGTTCAGTGTTCTCAGAGTTCCGGGGGCAGTACCAGATGCAGTATGGACACGATCTAAGACCAATCTGGCATAGTTACCATCCACCTCTAATGTCACTGTGTGCCACTGGCCATCATTGATATGAATACTCTGGACAGACACAATCCCGGGACCACTGCCACAATCAAACTTGTATTGCAATTTTCCTCCTTGGATCTATAGAAAAAAACAAAACAGCATTTCCCATTATTTATGAGCTGCTTAGGTTTCATTAAAAATATCAGCTGCTGCTCTGTTTTTAAATATGCAAAAACATCTACAAACCTTGATTTTCCAGTATTATCCCACCAGAGTAAAATTACTGCTTTCTACACAAGTCCTAAGCCTGGTGAGCACTGGAAAATGCTAGTGCTATTTAGTTCTTGGAGAAAGTGATTTCCAACATGGTGTAAAATACATCTTTAAATGCCTAAGAGCAAATTTGGACAAGTAGGGGTGTTGGCTGTCTGCTCACCCTTAGGAATGCACAGGTTATCACCACTGCTTCAATACAATAGGAAACATTTCATTTTCCCTCTAAATATCCTGAACTTGATCTCCAATACCATAGTCCAACCTGGGAGCCAGCAAACACGACCAGTATGTTTCTTCACCGATAGAGAAAAAAAAAGAAAACAGGTGCCATCTGTAGCTTTTTGTCCATTTAGGCTTCCTGATTCCTGCACCTTGTCCTTGTATTTTCTATGCTTTATTGGACATGGGTTAGTGTCCTTTTGAATGACACAGTTTGATCTCTCTGGCATTATAGGACTGAACATACAAACAGGTGAAAAGACTAAGAGAGCTCCAAAAAAAGATAAAGTACATAAGTGCATCAGACAGTGGGGAGATCCTACTTTTGGATCCCCCCCAAAATACCACAAACAGGTGGTGACTCATGTTGCTAGACTCCAGCTAAAACTTAAATATCATTTATTTATTTATTTATTGGGGGGGGGGGGGGGGCACCTTGTTCAACAGAACTGTCACTTGTGTCTACAGAAGCAGTCATCTGAAAAAGTGTAATCTCCTGGTCTAGAGTCCTTTTGCTAACAAATGCACTTTAGGTAAGATAAGGGTGACCTTTTAGAATTAAAAAAAATTGAAGAACAATTACAGAAAAAAGCAAAACATATCTGTTGTTTCGAAGGAAAAAAAAAACATGAAGACTGAGCAGCATCATTTATTTATAAAGCATTATTATAAACACCCTAAAAGTGTTATAGTTCATCCCAATCTCAGTCACTTTGATAGACAGCTTGGTCTGTATGGAAATATGCAGAAAACTATAGATAAAGGCATGTGAAAATAATATACTCAACGTTATCATAAATCATATCTAAACCCTAAAACAAAGTCATTTATTGCAGCTTACCAGTCCTTAGATGCATTCGTTTTTAAGGATTTCTATTTTTATTTTCCCTGATGATCTTTCCAGTAACACGCTTCCTGTCCTAGGGTGACAACATTCTCTCACTATACTGTATCTATGAAGGAGTAAAGTTGTCACCCTTGGCTGCTTTCCTGAATCAGATTACAAATACCCCCAACTATGCTCATCTCCTTTACAGAAGGAGGAAGGGTTGTGAATTTCTTCGAAGATACAGTGAGAAACAGAAGTATTTGAACACCCTGCGATTTTGCAAGTTCTCCCACTTAGAAATCATGGAGGGGTCTGAAATTCACATTGTAGGTGCATTCCCACTCTGAGAGACAGAATAAAAAAAAAAATTCAGGAAATCACATTGTATGATTTTTAAAGAATTATTTGTCTTGCACTGCTGAACATAAGTATTTGAACACCTGAGAAAATCAGTGTTAATATTTGGTACAGAAGCCTTTGTTTGCAATTACAGAGGTCAAACGTTTCCTGTAGTTCTTGACCAGGTTTGCACACACTGCAACAGGGATTTTGTCCCACTCCTCCACACAGATCTCCTCTAGATCTGTCAGGTTTTAGGGCTGTCACTGAGCAACACGGAGTTTCAGCTCCCTCCAAAGATGTTCTATTGGATTTAGGTCTGGAGACTGGCTAGGCCACTCCAGAACCTTGATATGCTTCTTACGGAGCCACTCCTTGGTTATCCTGGCTGTGTGCTTCGGGTCGTTGTCATGTTGGAAGACCCAGCCACGACCCATCTTCATGATTTCTAAGTGGGAGAACTTGCAAAATCGAAGGGTGTTCAAATACTTCTGTTCCTCACTGTAGCTTGGAAAGCTAATGACTAATGTTCTCAGAAAACTGATGCAGCCACATCTGAGGACTAGTCAGCTGCAACATATAAAAATTCTGTCCTTGGGTTGAGGTATATTTTAACTGTGTACAGTTACAATATTTGTCATGTCAGTAGTCCTATTAGAAGAGCTGTGGCCTAGTGCACTAAAGCTATGCAAGGATGAGAACAGATGACCTTGGAAAGTATGCTCTTGAATGTACTTTTAATATGTATTACAAACAATTAAAAAACATGAATTCTTGGCACCTGCCAGTGTTCTTGGCTCCCCTTTCCTCTCTGCTGCAAGCCTCTCTATGCCCAATGAATACTAATGCATCTGTGTGGCATCAAACATGTCAGCAGCCAGTCAGTGAAGTCATGGCACTTAAGAGATCATCACCCAGAGCTCAGAGGGCTGTGTGTAGAATCCAAGGGGCAAGTTCCATACGGAAGCTCCATTCACGACATGTTCTCTTGTGTATGTGCGCCAGAAACTGGTCAAAGCATTCACAAAACATCAGGGAGACAGGACTTGGCGGTGACTCTGTTTGATGAGCCTGACTGTGTATCCGCAGAGGAAAAATGTATGTTGTCACTTGTAAATAAAGCTAATCAATGTTGAATGTTTTACTGACACAAACTGATACCGATGTATTCACCGGTTATGTCTCCAGTCGAGCTGCTCTCTGGTAATGATGAATGTTCCCCCAACTTAATAATGGAAATGCAAATTTACGGAAAAACACGTTTGTTCGTTTGATATAAAAAGGAACATGACAAGTGAGCAAATAACCAAATCCAATTCATTTTCATGTGAACAATTCAGCAATCATACAGACAGAGCAGAAAAAGAAAGAGAAGGCATGTCACATTTCTTATCTCGCACAGCTAGATTTAAAATTAGAGTGTCCACATTTTGACGGTCAGAATGATGCGCTGCCTCTTTTTATAATCATGTATGTTAAAAAATTTCCTTTGATTAAACTTCCATTTCCTAAATAAATAATATAGAGAGCGAATTCTCTGATTTAAATTAAGGCTTCAGTGCCGATATAATTTTAAATGCTTGGGCTGAAAGGTCATTACAATAAAAGACATGTTTACCCTGCCTAATATATAGGTTAGGCAAGGGATCTACAAACTTTTCAGTACAAAGCCACATTGTAAATTCTACATATATTCCTGGGCTGAAAAAAAATCTCCAGCAGTGCCCCCCCCAGCACTTAAATCAGAGAGTGCCTATTATACTCTCCCTTACATTAGGGTCCCCATCAGAGTTTCTCCTTGCATTAAAGTTCCAACACAGCCCCCCTCACATCAGAGTCTTAATCAAAGTTCCCTGTTACTTAGGGAGCAACCTCTGCTGACTTTAATGTTCAATGTCTGCACATCAAGGACCCAAGCTGCATGCCAGATATAATCTTGTAGCTGGCCGGATGTGGCCCACAGGCCATAGTCTGAAGACCCCTGAATTAGGCTATAGTTCCATGTACAACTCAAAAGGTTCAACTCAGTGAGGTACATTGGTCACAGAAACAAAATTCATCACTTTTCTCATGATAATTTCTTCATCAAAACCTTGAATTCACACGAATAAATACAACTGACAATTAAATAATTTTTAAAAACATACACTGCTCAAAAAAATTAAAGGAACGCGTTTTAAACAAGTATAGCATCAAGTCAATTAAACTCCTGGGATATTGATCTGGTCAGTTAAGTAGCAGAGGGGGTTGTTAATCAGTTTCAGCTGCTTTGGTGTTAATGAAATTAACAGCAGGTGCACTAGATGGGAAACAATGAGATGACCCCCAAAACAGGAATGGTTTTAGAGATGGAGGCCACTGATATTTCTTTCCTTACTCATTTTTTCTGTTTTGGCTAGGGTCAGCATCACTACTGGTAGCATGAGGTGATACCTGAACCCTACAGAGGTTGCACAGGCAGTCCAACTCCTCCAGGATGGCACATCAGTACGTGCCATTGCCAGAAGGTTTGCTGTGTCTCCCAGCAAAGTCTCAAGAGCATGGAGGAGATTCCAGGAGACAGGTAGTTACTCTAGGAGAGCTGGACAGGGCTGTAGAAGGTCCTTAACCCATCAGCAGGACCGGTATCTGCTCCTTTGTGCAAGGAGGAACAGGATGAGCACTGCAAGAGCCCTAGAAAATTACCTCCAGCAGGCCACTGTTGTGAATTTCTCTGACCAAACAATCAGAAACAGACTTTGTGAGGGTGTGGCCTGAGGGCCTGACGTCCTCTAGTGGGCCCTGTGCTCACTGACCAGCACCATAGAGCTTGATTGGCATTTGCCATTGAAAACCAGAATTGGCAGGTCTGCCACTGGTGCCCTGTGCTTTTCACAGATGAGGGCAGGTTCACCTTGAGCACATGTGACAGATGTGAAAGGGTCTGAAAAAGCCGTGGAGAACATTCTGCTGCCTGTAACATCATTCAGCATGACCGTTTTGGTGGTGGGTCAGTGATGGTCTGGGGAGGCATGTGCATGGAGGGACACACACACACACAGACCTCTAACAAGCTAGACAATGGCACCCTGCCTGCCATTAGGTATCTGGATTAAATCATTGGACCCATTATCAGACCCTACACTGGTGCAGTGGGTCCTGGGTTCTTCCTGGTGCACAACAATGCCCGGCCTCATGTGGCGAGAGTATGCAGGCAGTTCCTGGAGGATGAAGGAATTGATACCATTGAATGGTCCCCACACTCACCTGAACTAAATCCAGTAGAACACCTTTGGGATATTATGTTTTGGTCCATCCAATGCTGCCAGGTTGCACATCAGACTGTCCAGGAGCTCAATGATGCCCCGATCCAGATCTGGGAGGAAATACTCCAGGACACGATCCGTGTCTCATTAGGAGCTTGCCCCTACTTTGTCAGGCATGCATACAAGCATGTGGGGCCATACAAACTACTGAGTACTATTTTGAATTGCTG